TACATGAAAAAAGCGTGAATAAATTAAAATAATTTGATGAAATAAAAACACACAAAAATGCTTATATGTATATTCATGTTTTATAATATCCAATAAACAATGTAACAAAAATATATTTTAAAGACTTGCGAGTCTTTGTACCCCACACCTTTTAAATATTATGAGCTAACAGCATCCCGTGTAACAAAACAGTGTAACAATTATTTGATCATTACATCATCTTTCCAGCTACTGAGATCATCCAAACATTTTTCCAGTAGTGGGTTTCCCCCTAAACTGGCGACCTGTAAGAAACCTAGGTTGTATACTTCAATTTAAAACAATCACACTTAAATGAATACTATGTAAAAATACTTGATTGACCTCAGCCCGAGCTTCTCGATCAAGTTCACTGAGTCTGTTTCTCGTGTACTGTATGCTGCCCGCCTTCTACAACAAACACATACAGTACTTCTTCATGTCAACATCACGGGTGCGCTGTGGTAAGATACCTGATAGTAATAAAAATATAATCACAAAAAACTTTACTATCACTGAATTAAAATCTGGTTATGTTTATACTTATTTACCAAACACCATAAATAATGACAAAAATTAACATCAATAAAGTATTATAAACAGAGGATGAAGGAAGAAACTTTATAAGCGGAGATGATCTCATGAAATGAGTAAAAAAAATACACGAAGTTCTCAAAACTCTAAATTGTACATTGATATGTAACTCATCAAGTTTATGAAATAACCTGATGAAATTATTAAGAATAATGATTCCATATTTATCGAAGGGTTACATAAAAAATTGCAATGTTTGATCCACATAAATACGTTCTCGTATGTATACAATTAGTAACTGAGTCTTAGTGTACTCACGTAAAACTTCGTTTGTTCGTAAAAATGTTTTGGATACATGTATGATGGGTAACGTGAACTTTCCTTCTGATAAATCTTCACAGAAACTGCCATTGCTGTTTAACTGGAATAGTAATACACATAATGAATCCCTACTAATATTATAAATGCGAAAGTAACTCTGTCTGTCTGTCTGTCGGTCTGTTACGCTTTCACGCCTTAACCACTGAACTGATTTTCATGAAATTTGGTACAGATATAGAGTTGTCCTTGAGAAACAACATAGGATACTTTTTATCCTAGACTTTTGAAAGGTTCTCTTATAAACGTGATTTAACCGAACTCCACGCGAGCGAAGCTGCGGGAGAAATGCTAGTATGATATAATTTTTTTCGAAAATGATATATATAAATCAATTATATTAGGAAGACAAAAACACGAAGATTAAAATAGTCATCTCGAAGCTGAATAAAAATTATAATGATCATCGTTAATTGGAAAAACATTCACATTTCAATTAAATTGCTCTAAAACTGTTATGATAAATTTAAATTTGTTGTAAATATAAAGTCTGTTTAATGTATAATATTATCAGTGAGATATTTGTTCATTTGATAGTAACGATATTTATTTACATAGGACAGATTTGTTAAAACGTAGAGGTTAGAAAAATGTATAAGTTATATGTATATTACTCATATGTGTCATCTTTTTGTATTGATCCGCAGTGGGACAAGTGAAGTTTTGCTCCCAATAAATCTCAGTGCCTTGTCCCTGCCACATTTCGTGTATTTGATCCGCGAATCCCTTGACTTTCTGTAAAAATATATCTTATTCATATAATTATTATACGTAGTCTACATTATTGTATCATAAAAATTTTCTACAGTTTTCAACTACACTTTATGAAAGTATTTCGTTCTACAATTTATATTTTAAGTTGCTTCTGTTAATTATTAATTACATTAATAAATAGTTATAATAAGACCGATGCATCTGGTGCTAACTCGAGGTCTATTTTCATTGACTCCACCATCACTTGAACAGCACAGTTGATGGTCAAGGGAACACCGTAGACCAAATGTGCTGTTGGTTTTCCTCGACGAACTGAAGAGTTGTCCTGGATATCATCGATCCTTTAAGTGAATAAAAATGGTATTATAACTTATATCCAATTAACAATCGCTAATTATTAAACTGAAAAGAAATAGGTTAAGATCTTTCTCCGCGATTTCCATTTCATAGATTAGTCTAAAAACAATTTATTATATTATAGAAGATAACAAATGTAATGCAATAAAATTAGAAAGGGACACAACCATTATATGACTACAAAAGCGTATCCTTGCAAGAAAAATCTTTGGAATTCATTATTTTAAGTAATTATTATTATTATCTTCTTTTCTTAATAAGAATGTATACTAACTAAGAAATATTATAACTATACCTCATTTTAGCAACGAATCATTATTTTATTGTATTATGTGTTTAGCGAATTAAGCAAGATTTAACAATTTAAACTACTTACAAGCTATTAATACAGAAGGAGATTAATTTTCGTAAACGAGAGTGCGCGTGCGAGTGTCGTCGTAGCGATAAACGACAAACGTTACACAACTACAGTCTAAGCGGACTGACCGTCAGTCACTGACGAGTGACGAGCAGTGTTTCCACTAGAACGATTTCTTTTTCCCACACTTCAATTCAGATTTCCCCTTCTACGGACTTTTTCCCCCTCAAAAATTATTTTGCTGTAGTTTTGACACCACACGCCACATCTAAAATTTAACGTATTTGTGTTTTATTTACAAACTGACCAGAAATATAATAAACACAAAAAATGGATTTGTATACTCATTTTTTTTTCCAAATCAGTTAACGCTGTCAGCGCATACATTTTTGCACAAAATAATATTTTATGTCTCCTCCTCAAAACCCTCATTTATCTTTGATTTCCCCAATTTCCCCTTTTATAGTCTTTCCCTCTTGACCCTAATTTCCCCTAAATCTCCTACTTTCCCCTCAATGTGGAAACACTGGTGACGAGTGACGTGCCCGGCGTAGCAGTGTTACCAGAATATTTTTTTTTCGAATCAAGATTTTTTCTTTTTATTGATTGCATTTTGTTTTAAAAAGTATTATTAAATAATTAAGTTTTATAAAATATTATCTTAATAAGTACTATAAAATAAGAATTTAAATATTTTTTTAAATATGTATTTCTAAAAATATTTTGAGCATCTGCCTGACGTTGGTTGCTAAGCAACGCTTTGTTATTAAAAACTTATTGAAATTGAGTGTTGAATGTTGATAATCTTTTTTTTCTGCATAAAAATGATTAAATATTTCAAAAAAATATACATATATAGCCAATTCGGCTACCTTTAGCCAGCGAATAAAATAATATCGCAGCTCGGTAAGGGAGATATGTAGCTCCGTCTAGCAAAACTGAGGCGCAGTGTCCGCTCAGCTGGCTAGCGGCGACTAGCGGGGGCCCGGACGACGAGAACAATAGACGGAGTGCACATCCTCGATACAATTTAATAAGAAGTTTGTCCGTCGCAAGAAAGAAAAATATTAAATAAGTTTTAAACAATAATTAAACAAATATAATTAAAGGAGATGGAAACTGGTTTGCCCAAAATGTTATGAGTTCAAAATTGATTTATTTTATTTTTGTATGAAATACCAAAAATCTGCATAAATTCTCAATCTACAAGCGGAGAAATATGCAAATAACTATTTTTATGAAGCAATCGATTAACGATTAATGAAATAAAAATAATTATTCGATTATTTAACTACAAAATAAAAACTTCACTCCTAGTTTTCAACTTATAGTAACTTCATTTAAACCACACCATATATGTCTACAGTTCAATAAAAATAACTTTTAAAAACGTGTATTAATATATAATAATATTAAATATTATTTTAAAACATTCTTTTCGATTATCGATTCCATATCGATCGAAATCATTCAGTATATAGTCTATGGCAACATGACATTGACACTTAACAGTTACCAATTTACCATACCAGATGAATTGTTATCTGAGTCTCACTTGTTTCGTGTTTTTTGATAAGTTTCGAGTGCTTTCCCGATCGTTTTACGTTTTCAACGACCACTGCTTTGTTTTTTATTGACTCCGAACTCGCCTAACGTTTTACGCCTTGCTTTCACATTGGACACCGACGATCGCCTGCACGTTTGACTTGGAATTGTTAATTTGGATTATTTCGCCGGCTTATGGATTGGATATTTCATATTACTGAAACGATGCATCGCTGTGTGAATTGTGGGATAGCAACTAGTAACATTGTACCCCCCTGCATAGTTCCTAGACGATATTGTAATTATTATTGAAGAGGAATAAAATACATATTCCATTAAAATTATTTGTTTTATTTTATGACTTTTATCACATAGTTCACTACTCCTGTTCCTCGTAAAATTCCATACTTGTTACCGATATTTGTATATCTTTGAGTCTTTCAGCTTTCTTGCCTTGTTATAACTTATCAGACATTCTCTTTGTAATTAATTGTATGACCATATATGATAATAGCACGCAGATGCTATCTATTACAATTAGTTTGATATTATATTTAAATTATATATTCCATTGAAATGACCTCTGTGGTTAATAAATCTTTCCAGCTGGTGATCTCTAAATACCAGATAATAGCGATGTTCATTACATATACAGACCCAGTAGTGATTAGCATTTCAAAACAATAAAATGAAAATATAAATTTTCATACATATCGGCTGAGATCGAAAGGGCCCTGTAAAATAGGTAAATTTGGACGTTCGTCCCCAGGCATAAGTGATAGTTAAAAATAATAATCATAATAAATCACAATATAACATTTATTAATTCAAATTAAAATCACGAATTTAACATAAATTAATAATTTAATAATTGACAAATTTAACTATTTTGACCATTGACAATTAATTTGAGAATAATTAATTTTAATAAATTTAATATTGAAGAAATTTAGACACTTCAACAAATTATTATAAATTTGACTAATTTACAATCAAGAAAACAATTTAAATTAGAAACAATTCAGGAGTGACAAATATCACAATTAAGAGATGTGAACGAAGCTAGTGCTAACGTTGAAGTGTGTCCGGCATCGGGTCATCTCAGGCCCCCTGTAGGGAGGGTCGAGGTGAGCTTGTCGGGGCAACGGCCCCCTAAGCTGGCCTCCACTCCGCCTGTAAAAACAGGCGGGTCGTTGTGGTGGGCGTTTGCAGCCCTGGTGTCTCGTTTGGTGATAATTGCCGCGGCGAGGCGCCGTCCTGAGAGTTATCTCAGGTAGGCTGCCATCAGCCTGCGGCCGTCAGTTTAGATGTTTGTCGGATATGGCGAGTCGATCCTCCAGCCGATATCCGACAGTTGTCGAGTCTAGCTTCTACTCCTCTCCGCGGGAAGGAGGTCTCGCGGCAGGGCGTATTTATCCGGGGGGCGTCTGTGGTACGGGGCCAGTTCCCTTATGTGCGGGAAGCTCGATGCCTCTGACCGCCGGAACATGGCCCGACTCAGGCGGATGATGAAGTCGTCAAGGCTCTCCATGCGGAGGTCCCTGGTGATTGTCGAGTTCCGTACGAACCGAGGCGCGCCTACAAGTGTTCTCAGTGCCAGCGACTGCTGGACGCGCAGGCGACCACGCCCGGTTTCCTTGACTAAGGGATACCAGGCGGGCGCGGCGTACGTCAAGCGCGTTCTGATATACGACTTGTAGACGGCCAACTTGGCTCGCAGTGGGAGATTAGATCGCAGGACAGGACGCAGGAGAGCACGTGCGGCCCTCGTCTTGTTGACGACTTCCTTCACGTGGGGCTGCATTGACAGGCGGCGATCGATAGTCACACCTAGGTACTTGATCGTCGCCGCCCAAGTAAGAGGCTGTCCCATCATGGTAAGGGGCTGCGGTAATGGCCGCATCCCCATAGATATCGCCTGGGTCTTCCCTATATTGACAGAGAGGCGCCACTTGTCCAACCACGGGGGGAGTTGATCCAGCTGCCGCTGCATCTTCGTCGCCGCGTGAGTGGGCGATAGCGAGGTGGTAATGAAGGCAGCATCGTCGGCGTACAGCGCCAAGATCGCGCCCTCCGCCACCGGAATGTCGTCCGTGTACCTGGCGTAGCACCCCGGAGACAGGCAACTCCCCTGAGGCACACCGGCTCTGACTAGGCGAGGCGTAGACAGGGTGTCTTCCACCGACACCTGGAACCGCCTGCCTTGTAAAAAGGTGGCCACAATCCTAACTATTCGGCGAGGAGTAGTGGATGTGGCCAGCTTGTACAGTAGACCGGGGTGCCATACGCGGTCGAACGCCTTCTCCATGTCGAGCATCACTGCAACGGCCGACTCTTTTTTGTTAAGAGCTACCGAGAGGACGTGCAGGACCCTCGCGAGCTGGAGCGTGGTAGAGTGTTCCGCTCTGAAGCCGAACTGCTCGACTCGTGGAGTGATGTGAGGCGTCATATGACGCAGAAGAAGTTTCTCGAACACTTTTGAGACGGTGGGTAGCAGCGTGATAGGGCGATAGCTCCCAGGTCTTAGGATGTTCTTCCCCGGCTTCGGTAGCATTATGACTCGGCCGAGCTTCCACTGGGTAGGGAAGTGGCCGGTCCTGAGGACTCCGTTGTACAGCCTCGTCACCGCCGCTATACCGCGAGCGGGGAGGTGACGGAGGGCTTCATTTGTTATTCCATCGGGACCGGGGGCCTTCCGGAGCTTGGTGCGGCGAATCATACGCTGCACTTGGCCGGGGGTGATTACAATGGGGTCTTCCGTGGGGGCTATCGCTTGCCCGAGGTACTCGTCTACTCTCCGTTCAACTTCTTCTGCGTGTAGGGTGTCCTTGGTTGGATTAGGCTGGAACTGTGTCTCCAGGTAGTCAGCGAAGATCTCGGCTCGGTCCGCTGCGCGGTAACGCGGGGTGCCGTCACTCGCTAGCAGGGGCCGGATCGGTTCTGACTTCCTGGAGACTTGGCGGCATAGGCGGTGGATACCCGACCAGTCCTCTCCAGCTCGCTCGATGGTCTTGTACCAGGAGTCTACAGCGTGGTCCTCCAACACCGCTGAGACTCTCTCCGCCAGAGCGTTGAGCTGGGACTTGATGGTCGGGCATCGGGTGCGCTGGTATAATCTACGCAGCCTCCTTTTGTCCTCTATCATGTCACGTATCCCGGCAGGCAACTGCGGTCGTTTCCGGTGCGATGTGGTGCTTAGCCGCGAGGCCTCGAGTGCCCGGGTGATAGACTCGGTGAGCTCGAGGGCAAGGCGGTCCACATCGTCGGGGCTGTCCACTCGAAACGACCGCAAGTTCTTCGACAGGTGGTCTGCGAAGATGCGCCAGTCCTGTCTGTGACGCGGGGGCGGGATTTCCCTACGGATCGGCGCCAGATCGATAGTGACCAGGACCGGTTGGTGATCCGACATCACGTGGTCATCTAGTACGTCGATCGATGGGTCTGTGTTCAGGCCCTGCACTAACGTGAGGTCGATGACGTCAGGCGCGGCGGTATGTTGGTAGGGGTAGTGCGTTGGGACCTCTGGGCCCATTACTGCATACCCTTCCCTCTCCGCGTCGTTTAGAAGCTTTTGCCCGTTGGCGTCGTCGTGTGTCGAGTTCCATGCCGTGTGCTTGCAATTAAAGTCGCCTGCGATGATGGTGGGGGTTGCCTGGTCTAGGAGTGCGTGGATGTCGCTCTCCTCCAGGCGGCCACCCGGCGGCCTATAAAAGGCAAACACTCGGACAGGACGTCGATCAAGGCACACCTCTACGCCAAGAGCGTAGGCTGAGCGGAGGGAAACTGCTGGTAGCGGTTGATGAATAACCTGCCTTTTGACCAGGGCAGCCAATCCCCTATAGGCTACCCCGGCGGGGGATACCTGGTCACTTCTGTAGACCACGTATCCCGGCATGGTAAGAGTGTCCGTTGGTCTGAGGTGCGTCTCTGAGACAAGAGCTACGTCTATTCTATTCTCTGAGAGCAGTACCCGTAGCAGCTTTTGTTTTGGTCCAGTTAGGCCGTTGGCGTTCCAATGGACCATCCTCAGTGTTCTATTGAACTAAGAGCTTAGTCAGGGCTCTGAGGATGGTCGGGATGATCTCTTTGACTCGGCCTTCCTGGACGGCCGCTAAGATCTCCTGCAGGATCTGTACGACCTCCGCTATGGGTACTGCGTACGCAGTAGCTTGCTCGGACGCTGGGGGTTTGACTTTACTGCCCGTAGCGGACAGGGGGGCTCTCTTTGTCTCTTGACGCGCTGGCATAATCGGGGCAGTCACTGAGGTGGAGGGCGCTGTTTCGATGGTAGATGCGGGAGGAGGGAGGTCTGGATTGACATCAGACCTCACCTGCCTACGCCTTCGCTGCCGGCGCTTCTTGTTCCGGGTCGCTCTGGGTGCGGCCGGATCGTTTGCGGCCGCCATTAGTGAACCGGTTGCATTGGTTTCGCTTTCCATTTGGACCGCTCTGGGAAGGGGAGCCGCGGTAGTTCGCGCTACTGCGCCCGCCTTCTTGTTCCTGGCCTCCTTGATGTAGACCGGGCAGCATGAGGCATTAGCTGGGTGGTCTCCTGCGCAGTTGGCACAGGAGGCCGGCTCTTCCCTCGAACGTGGGCATTCCTTGGCTGCGTGGTGTCCCCCGCATCGCACACACACCCTGCTCCCGATGGCAGTTGTGTGAGGAGTGCCGGAACTGCTGGCAGCGGTGGCACTGGGCTGGCCCTTGGCGTCCTCTCCACGCTTCTATCTTAATACCGGCCATGCACTGAAGCTCGGTAACCTCGTAGATGGCCGGGATTGTAGAGGGCGTCCTGCTCAGCTGTGCGAAGTAAACGCAGCCGGGTCTTCCCTGGCGAGCCATGATTGGGCGAACGAACTCGGGAGAGAAACCCAACTCCCGGAGCTCATCGACTATGGCCGCCGGGTCTGCGTTCACTGGCAGGCCTCGGATGGCGATTTTTAGTGGGCGATCTGCCGGGAGTGAGTATGAGAACCACGCCACGTTCTCATCTCTTTCTACTTTGGCGAGGTATGATTGTACCTCGCGGAACTCCCGGTCTGATTTCGGAAGGAATCTAATGCCTTTCCCAAAGGGGCGGGCGTTCGGAGCGAATCCGAGTCGCCTTTTTAGTTCGCGCATATGGCGCGACCACTCTGGGAGCGATTCGACCACTAAGGGCGGATACCTGGCCCTGGATGCAGGCTTGTTGGTGTCGGCGGCCGTGGCGGTGGTACCGTCGGTGGCACCGGCAACACTGGAGGCTGGAGGGCTCACTGACGGCGGTGTGGTGCGGGGCCGTGGAGTCGGCGCATCCGCGTTTGCTGTCGGTGAGCAGGTGGCCGGGATGGGTTTAGGTCTCGTAGGCGGTGACGCAGCCATGACTGCGTATGAGACCTCCATCTCTATGCATGGCGAAATCTTGCATGGAGACGTAAAGGCCGGCGGGCGAGGGGGGGGCGGCTTGGGGGGCGATATAAATCGTTCAGCGGGGTAGGGGGGCGGCGCCGCTAGGCGCGGGGCGGGCCTACCTTTAGCCGGAGCCCAGGTGGCTTGATCGAGGCGCGTGTCCTGGCGCTGCCTCTGCTCCTTGGGCGATGCTGGTCGTCTCCGGGGATCACGGGGCGGAGAGATTGCCGGTGAGGCGGCCAACTCCGGGCTGTCAAAGAAGGCGTCTCCTGTCCCAGCCGGTGTGGTGGGACGTGGTGACGGCGATGGTGATGTGTGCACATCGGATCGGGACCCAGACACGTGGGTCAGCTGTCCTCCAATCCGCTGTGTCCGGCCGCCTAGCACGTCGCTTTATATAGGTCGTTCGCCACCTCGCCTGACTTGTTGAGCGATAAGAGATTGTAAACGCCTGTACGCGCCTGTACGTGCTTGTTGAAACCTGTTCCTTTTGCTCTCGCGCCGACACGGCCATTCTGCATGATGGTCGCCTTCGACCTAGTTCTTCTTCTAAGTCGATACGTTCTTGGCAGAACGGTCGTGATCATCATGATGTGTGGTGGCACGCTTCACAACACGTCGCCACTCGTCTCTCGTCCACTGCAGCCCTGACTTGGTCTGTCCAGCGCATGGGTGACCTGCCGCGCGGTCTTGTACCCTCGACTTTGCCCTGCAATCACACAATTACGGAGGCCCCTGTCCTCCACTTAGTTACTCATTGTAAGGAGGCCCCTGTCCTCCACTTACATTACACAACTAAGGAGGCCCCTGTCCTCCACTTAATTACTCACTGTAAGGAGGCCCCTGTCCTCAACTTACATTACACAACTAAGGAGGCCCCTGTCCTCCACTTAGTTACTCACTGTAAGGAGGCCCCTGTCCTCCACTTAGTTACTCACTGTAAGGAGGCCCCTGTCCTCAACTTACATTACACAACTAAGGAGGCCCCTGTCCTCAACTTAGTTACTCAGCACGTGATTAGCTCAGAGGTATCACTCTTTGGTGAATACGTGTCTTCTCACGGCTTTCACAAGACATCACTACAGAATCTTATAATTCTCTCAAGAATAGCACGTGATTAGCTCAGAGGTATCACTCTTTGGTGTATACGTGTCTCCTCACGGCTTTACAATACATCCCTGCAGAATCTTATGATTCTGTTACAGTTAACCTAAGAATAGCACGTGATTAGCTCAGAGGTATCACTCTTTGGTGTATACGTGTCTCCTCACGGCTTTACAAGACATCCCTGCAGAATCTTATGATTCTGTTACAGTTAACCTAAGAATAGCACGTGATTAGCTCAGAGGTATCACTCTTTGGTGTATACGTGTCTCCTCACGGCTTTACAAGACATCCCGACAGAATCTTATTATTCTGTTAAAGTTAACCTAAGAATAGCACGTGATTAGCTCAGAGGTATCACTCTTTGGTGTATACGTGTCTCCTCACGGCTTCACAAAACATATCCCTACAGAATGTTACGATTCTCTTACAGTTAGCTCAAGGATAGCACGTGATTAGCTCAGAGGTATCACTCTTTGGTGTATACGTGTCTTCTCACGGCTTCACAAAACGTATCCCTACAGAATCTTATGATTCTCTTACAGTTAGCTCAAGGATAGCACGTGATTAGCTCAGAGGTATCACTCTTTGGTGTATACGTGTCTTCTCACGGCTTCACAAAACATATCCCTACAGAATCTGATGATTCATAATTCACATAAGGATACATCATGGTTACGAGCAGTGGCGGCTGTACCTTAAGTGCACTCGTGCGCTGAACCATTAATTCAAAAGATTTAAAAATTACAAAATATTACTCCATCTTTATTTTTAAATTACCATTTTAATATTTATTTTCTTAACATACAAAAAAAAAGTTTGAGCGCTTTACTAAACTAATATCTCGTGCGCTTCGGCGAGTGCACGAGGACTGCTAATACATTTTGTATGAGATACGCATTAATACGCCTGACGCGTGAGACAAAAGATAGTTCATAGAAATGTACCGAGTAATGAGTCGGTTCTCGAGCGCCGCACGAGCGACCGAAGATTACCGAGAGCACCCGATGTATGATGAATTGGAATTGAAAAGAATAAAACTTTTCTCCGAAATACCATGCACTTGCTAAATGCACTTTCTGTGCTTAGTATTGAATAAAAAATATATACAAAAAAAATATCCGGATTTTAATAAATAGGTGATTGAACATTTCGCTTCGGAAAAATGTCTTTGCATTAATTAATGTATAAAAATAAACATATTTTATGTGAATTGGTTTTTTGTTGCATTTTCTAATTTTAATATTTTATTAAAGTGCACCACCAGTTAGATAACCCACCAGCCGCCACTGGTTACGAGGATAGCTTAAGAGTATTAACACAAGTTAAACTCAGAGGTACCATTCTCTGAATTTCGTATACCACAATAGACGGTTATCGCGTCCCGTCACTCTTCCCGTTGTGGCTGATGGAACCTAGTCTGTAGAGACCAGTGGTTGAAAGCGCAGCCTGTTCCGATCCTCATTTGCTCGGCTAATACCTGACTTAGATAACTTCAAACGCTGATGAGTGTTGTGTATGGGATGCAGCCGGAATCGTTCTGAAAAATATTAGACATTTCATGGATAAGACAATCTATTTAAAGAATGCGAATAAGTCTTGTTTTCTTTTTAACCAATAGGATTCTTTTATTTTAAAGAATATTTTCCTCAATCCAACATGTTAAGACATTACTGGAAAGCAGTTGACACAACAGTTCATTGTTGTGGTCCCACAATGGGATATTCTATGGCTTTCTTGAAGAACGCGTCTCTTAGAGAACAGTCAGTGATCTCTTCTCAATTCTATTGTTAAATACGCGAAGTATCGGGTCATAAAATTCACCATGGTTTCTTTGAAATGAATAGGATTCCGAATAAAGAAGTAAGCATTCTGTAGTCTAACACATTTCCTATACTCAACACATGAATCTAATTCTTTTAAGGAAAACCCATTAATAGGTGAATACATTGAAAGAGAATCTACTTCGTACTTAGATCGCTTCGTAGAGTTAAAGTCTGTTGGTATTTTGAATTTCTTATCATGAAAGAAATGAGTCCTTTAAAGACGTTTGAAACTCACCTTTGGTTGAATCATAAAGAGGTGTCGTGAACACGAGAAAAATTGGAAATAAATTTTTGTAATACACCCTGCAAAACCGTTGAATTGTTTTTCTTGGTTAACGCTTCTGGGAAGAGGTGATTTTATAAAATCTTAAGGCTTTGTGGGCTGGGGGACACATTTGTCCATTTTCAATTACGTTACAAAGATATTCAGAGATATCGCATTTACTAATAATATTAACCGAAAATTACCGTGATCTTGTTTGATCGGAAGATTTATTTTCGTCTAAGGTCACAG